CTTTTTCATACCATTCATCAAATTGCCACCAGTTAATACACTGGCTATCAGCCAAGGCAAAGTTATGTTTGAAGCGCCAAACAAGAAAAAAAAACTAGACTTCATTAAAGAGTTGGAAGTGATTTCCGAAAAATAAAAATGCATCTGTATTGTAAGCCTCACATTGGAAGATTTTATAAACAATCAGTGGTATTTCAAGTACTTCAAGAGCATCCCAACAGTCAATCTTTTAAGAAGTTGTGTTGGTCATGACCTCTACTTTGACACCTAGCTTTCATCCAGTCTGCAGCTGTTCTGACCGTGTTTTATGTTCTACACTTTCTGGAAACGTGACTGTTATGCCCAAACTCTAACCGTTAGCGAATGTCAGCTGTATACACAAACATCGCTGAATCCACAACAGTCCGACATGGTGATTGAGGCTGCGTCACCCACAACATAAACATAAATTAAGCGCCCTGTGGAATGCAAACCGCGGTGTGGTATCCTCGGGTGTGTTTCGCAGGGAAGCAAGTCTATCCGGTGGTCCAGGGCATAATTTGTGCCGACTCGGCCACTCACGCCATGTCCCTTCTACATATCCATCGACAACATAAAACAGATGCGTTATGCGTGGCATGAACTCTTCTCGACACGACGGTCTGATGCTACAGGAAAATGACGAGATGCACAAAAATAAACCTGGGTTATTACAACGGCAAACCATTTTGTCAGAGAGGTGGTCGTGTGTGAAACTTGCATCATTTAAGCACACTTGGGTTACCAAAATTTTTGTACAGTGGTGCCCTTTGAGCGTCACATGCGAGTGTGATTAAGAATGGGCCACGCATTACCGTAGCTAAAAAAGCAGTTAATGTATACAAATGTCATGCACGCGCCAGTTGAGAGTTGGAGGTGTAAATCACATGGTGGATGCGCGAACACGGGGGCAAGAAGTTGAGGGCACAGTAGACGATATTAGGTGTCAACCATAACAACCACACCGATTAGCAACCACTTGTGTATACTAATTTCGGAAGCCTTATTAGACTGTCCACATAACTTTGCACAATTAAGAAAGTGAAAATTCAGCTTACTGGTTTAATTTTTTAGCAAAAAGTTTCTGTTTAAACGTTGCAGATGCCTTGTTCAGTGGTACTGAACTCGATTAATTAAATTTGTTGTTAGTTTTCTTAGCATGTCGAAAGGATACTGAGTTAAGCCTGATTGGTGTACCTGCTGACTCTCTAACTGACCTAATTTCCTACAACATTTCGTAGAACTTAGTACGAGTTTGCAACAAACACTTCTGCAAATCAAGGGACTGTGGTGCACATTCTGCTTACTGCAACAGAACTTTCGTTGATGAAATTATCACAACAGTAGGCTAGAAATCTTTTCGTTGAGACTGCCACCTCAGTCTTACGCCTTCATTGTTAATTTCACAATGAGCTGTTTTTGTGGAATTCAAATTGAAATGATGCACAGTTTATTTCACAAAAACCAAGACTGTACATTAGCTAATATGATGTAACAATAGGTAAAATTAGAAGTATGACCTTCTCACCCTATGTACCGCTGTTGTCAGTCGCAATTACACAGGGAGACGGGGAAGCTAAGGTGGCCAAAAAACCATGTGTTGTCAAAAAAACAGCCAATGAATTAGTGGGAAACCACGTGAAAACTTAAACATGTCAAGAAGCACGGCACAAGAGGCTTTGGAATAAACATACCATATTATACGGTAAACAGTATCTGTTCATTAATAGAGTGTATGAAAAAGTGTATGTTAAAAAAATAACATTCATTATCCTAAGACTTTTGAGTTTCATTATCGAAATACCGTGATAACTTAAAAGAATGACTGGTAGTAAACGTCAAAGTAAAGCACACATGAGGACATTAGTCTATCTTTGCAGATCTCAGTTTCCGCATTCGTTGTCTCAGTCTCTGCACGGTTTCATTGATACCTGTGGACATTACTTGACACTGCTATACCTGAAAAGTTACAACTATAATGAAAGTTGATGGGAAAACTAACAAACGGAGGTATGACATGAACACATGTAGAGATCATAAAAGCCCTTTCTTCGAACCAATTCCGTTGGAATGCAGCAATCAGTGGCAATATTGGTCGTGCCAGAGTTGATTTCCAGGAGGACTCTAGGAAAACTTTCGTCTCGCAGATCAGACCTCTAAACAGGGAGGTATCGATGACTATAATGGCGAAAATAAATGTTTTAGCAGCTACTACACACTTGGACAAAAATGCACCAAACAGCTCAAGTGTCAATACACTTACCGTTTTGGAATAATTTAAATCCTGTGACTAACTATGCCTCCTGGCTTTGCTCAAAAATGAGGAACTTTTAAACTTTGACAGGGACTGAGGTTTGCTAATGCCACATGTTACTTTCATGACATGACTAGTTTACTCAAAAGAAGTTATAAAAAACCAAAGTGTAATAAAGTAGTTGACGAAAACCTCGAGTTCGCAACTTAAAATAGAACACAAAAATTCGTCCACCTGATATTAGGTGCGTGACTTAATTTTCACAGATTTTCAACAAATGTTTCCAATGTATAAAGGAGAGAACAATGAATTTAATCTTGAATGTATTGTCCATTGTTTTTCATGACCTTGCACTATCTCTTTGGTAATATCGCGAAAGACACTTGCAGGCTTCTACGCAATGATATTATTGATGAATTTATGCACACTGTTTTGGCAACATACGTGAGACCAAACTTCCAAGTTGTTTAATTTTCTCGCTCAGTGCAAACGCTTCAAAATAGGTGTTTGGGTGGCTCCTAACTGAGTTGCTGCAAGTTGGTGTTGCGTTTGCATTGGGTCTTCATCCAGTAGAGCTAACAGTTGCGCATCTTAGAACGTTTGAAACTGCGTGGGACGTAGCTGGGCACTAACATCGAAATCGCCACTTCTACAACGTTTATTGCAATAATTACACGTTTTACACGACACAACGTTAGCACCAAGAACACTACAAATTGATTCCCGTGCTGTAGAAGCATTTTTCCGTTGTTGGAAATCGTATGACATGCAGTGCGGAATGTGCTGTTTGTCAGTTGATGTCTTACGCTCTGCTATTTTGAGAGGTTGTGCAACTCATGCGGACTTGGTTTTCAATATTCTGAAGCCTTGCATCCGATCCTTCCAATAACAAACGTATTTTTTTTTCATTTTTAAAGAAAATAATAGGTATAAGTCAAGTCACACACTTAATATGTGCTCAGTTAGTTTGCAACGGATTGTGCAAACTGGCTAATCCAGGATAAGATACCAAGCTCAAGATAATCGAATGTAACCTTTACGTTTTGTTGTTGAGACCAAATTTAGGACTAGTTTCATTCTTTATTGCAGTAAAATGGCATTTTTCTTACTAGACATGCGCACCATCTGAGTTGTAAATCTTATCTTTATTATACAATTTCAATTTTGCATAATTTTAAGCTCGACAAAAAATCTGTGCAAATTAGGGTGTGCATCTAATAAACGAAAAAAAAACAAAAGTAATTTCACACTACGCGATTAATTCAAAAACAGAAGCGCCATTTTATAAGGAACACAGCGAGCTAGTGAAACCACAAAGCATTACCAAACAGCCCCGAGATGGTAGCGGATCGATACTTAATCACAATAATTGCATGTGTCTAAATGATGCCAGTACATTAAAAAAACGGACAAATTCACATTTGTGAGAAGTGACGAAAATCGCATAAACTTGGCTATAAAATGAGAACGTGGTATTTCAACTAATCCATTTTTTAGGATTCAGGTGGCCAAATTAATATGCATTGATTTGAATGACTTGAATACACTGCAAATTACAGAGTTTTCTCTAGTAACTTGTAAATTCACCGGAATGTAAGAACTTAACACGGAGTGGGAAAACAGCAAGTTAAAATTGGTGATGAAGGTTTCAACAATAGTTTTTAAGGCCATAGGCCACATTTTCACGAATTCAACTGCATTTTAATATACCCTTACGATAATCCACAAAAATGAAATAGAGTATCCCAGTGCAACTAGGGGTGCAGTGTCCTTCAGAGCACTCCCGTCTGCCCCAGCTATAAGTGTGCGATAGAAATCAGGCATATTTCATCGTCACAATCACACAAACCATTTCTGTTGTGGTTGTGGCAAAGAAAAAAGGTGCCAGCATAAAGAAATGAAATTAATTGATGCAGAAAATCCTCCGACTTTGCCGGATCTGTTTTTCATAGACATTAAAGGTGTCATTTTAAGTCCCAACAACCGAATAAACGCATGTCATGTTGTTTGGTCAACATAGGACATTATTTCCTCACACATTGACTGTATCATTAGACCAAACGTGGACGAATGTGCATTCATTGTCCGTATATTAACTAGGATGCAATTAAGTTAAGTTATTCCTTGTGAGAATCGTATTCTATATTTCAAGCAGTTGTTGTGTGCACTGAAAATGACGATTTTCAGCTCAACTTGATTGCGGACTAGGGTGAAAAATTAAAGGTGATATGCGCAGATTAGAATTTTACGGCTTGTCACATCTCTCACAAATCTCTTGCTTGCAGGTGCGTGCCAGTAATCAGACGAGGAGTGACGCTCCTAACCTCTAGGGCAAGACGATTGCATGCTGCGCAGTTAAACCGAGTTGACGTCTAGTGGGCGCATTCTGATGCTAAACAGTAACAAGAATCGTTTGATTTCATAAAAAGGCTTCCTTCAAAACTGTTCTCTTCTGTGTGTATGCTTAATTATTAAACGTGTTGCTCGACACATTAGGCGAGCAACAAATGCCTTTGGTCATCGAAATTATGTAAAACTTTAGTTTAAACTGTTATTTGCCATTGTTACGGAAAGAATCGTCTGAAAAATGCCTTCGTGTAGCATTCTTCGCGCACTATAGGATTTAACCTTCCTAATGATAAGCTCTTTCTATGGATAAGTTTGCTATCACTACCTAGGAATAACTTCCGCGTATAACCTTGACGCCACCTTGTTTGATTGAATTGGCCTGGTCACAGCAACCAGCTAATTTGTTAACTTAGCTCAAACGGACGCTGAAATAATTCTTGCATAATGCACCACAACGGGTGCCGAGGTCAGAGCTAACAGATAACCGTATGAGTTCCAATACTTAGTACACTGGTTACTAACAGAATGATGTATTGTGCTTGACACGTTCATTAGTACATCCAAATCGTCCTTTCCACTGCGGTCAGGTTACCGAAAAGGACATTTTTAAGCGGGTTTCGTCTATGTTAACCTTACCTGCTGATTTCATACTGAAAATTTTAGTTGGTACAGCCTATTGCATCGGCCAAATATCACCAGCCACTGTGTTTTTATCGATTAATTTGAATCAGTATTTAAATTAAGGAAAAAAATTACTTTACTTCTTTTCTAAAGCATACCAGGTTATTTACGATGTCACGTCTGGGAGTTACAGCCAACTTCGCAAGTCAGTCTGGTAAATTAAGTTTGAAGGATTCGTTGCAACTAGTGTGCCCAAAAGGGGAAGATAGTTTATACATTTCCTGTCTTAGAACCGTATTCTTTTTACAGAAGGTGAAGAAACTAAGTTGAATTAACCCTAAATGGCAATTTGCCCGGCTGTAGGCAATACACAAAGGCAAGCGCGTGTGCACACGTTTGTGCACGCTGCCTATCTGAGGTTCACCAGTACACTCAAATGCAGCACAGAAAGTGGACTGCTATAATTGGTTCTTACGAACCCAATAGGACTTGCCCCGATTGGGATAGCTAGGCTAACTAGTCGGCATGGGAATCATTCGTAGGTAAATCCTAGGATAATTTCCAATTAGAAACAACGAATTAAAAAAAAGAGTAGGATCTAGTCGTTTTAAAAGGACAATGCTTTGTCTCGTGTGCGGCGATACGGCCAGTGGAATACACTACGGCGTGCTCTCCTGCGAGGGTTGCAAGGGCTTCTTTAGGAGGGCTCTTCAGGTGAGAGTTCATTCCTGCTTTTTCCTTCATTTATTTTAACCTAAAAAAATTCCTGTAAATTGCGAATTGAATGTTTTGTTAATTTATGTGACTTATCGAACAATGTCTAAAATTGGTTGCCAAATGAAATTTCTTTTTTTTTTCTGGTGAAAAACACAACTTGTTAAATAATACAAACAAACTATAGGCCTTATTTAATTAATTCACCCCGCAGACCGCTGACACCTGATATGTAAATCTGATTTTATTACTTGGCATAGTAGAATGTGAATGCCATCATGCTTCCACGTTAGCAGTGTTATTATTCTGGCAACTATAAAATTGTTGATTTTAACAAAAAATTAGAACAGAGTAGGCTCCGTGTAATCCTTTTTACTATGAATCTCCTGCCACCCCAGTATTTTATATTACTACTTTAATTTGAATTCAAAGTACCACACTAACCATTGTCAAATCCCTGATTTTCACTATATAATTCCTGATCAATGAGCTCTTTCGTTGTCATGCTAGGGAACGATCCTAATTTGGTTAATCCTCTTTGATTGCATTAGTGTGAATTATTGCTTTTTATATGTGAATTTTTGGATAGAATTCGCTCTAACTGCCTAGTGAGGTTGTTGACAATCTTATCTTTGTTACACCCGGATAAAAGTTACTTGCATATGGAAAATAAGTAAGAAGCCCATCTTCGTGCTCTTCTTCCTGTTCAGTTGATATTCACAATTGATTTGGCTTGCTACCAGCTCCTGATTTAACCAGCACAAAATCCTTATTTTAACGTGGTGAGTCTTTTCGATTTTAATCAACCTGCATAATAAAAAATCATTGTTTTAAATTCTTGAAGGTAAAGTTGGCAAGTTTCGACGTCAAGGGCACTAAGCTTTGCACACTTAAAAGCTGCGCTGTAAGAACCCTCAAGTTATCAAATACCGAACACACAAATTTGCCACCGTGTGGTCTTCCAACTATAACGACACACTCAATTTTTTTCATAAAAACATTGCATATTCAGAAAAGCATCAAAAAATTGTTTGTTGACTTAGTCTTATAAAAGCAAAGGGCGTCAAACGTGGAAAAAATAAAATAGATTAGGCCTCGATAAAAAAGAAAGCGAAAGACAAGCAAGCTCGAGCTTGCATGCAGTCAATTAAGGGGATTTTGAATGAATCAAGTTCTAAATTCTGAGTATTGTTTTGTTTACTGATAGGCTGGTTATTTGACTAGGCTTATTTATGAGTTAGCACGTCGTTAGCACACACAGACAAACCCAGCGCGTGTGCCACCTTCTACTGTCCTGAGCCTACTGACGACTTTTGGATCGTTTTCACTTTTCAGAATATTGGGATTTGTAAGCAGCATTGTCGTTGGTTAAACTAGCTAATTCGAGGTAGGCGAAACGACCTATAGCCAAGATTTTTGCTCCTAACAAATGTATGCTGGAAACTCAAGATGCCCAAATTTGCATTAGTTATTTCTTGGTAAAGCAAATTTTCTGTAAACCCAGAAAATGCACCTTTTAGGTGCTTGTTAATTTCTATTTTGTGATGTTTTCTCTTTATTTTTAGCAAAATGAGCAACTAACAATGTGTGGCTATTTATATCATTTTGGAGCGTTAATTTAGGTCACATTGAATGAATTTCGTGAAAAAAACTAAGGAGGTGTTGTTAAATATTTGCACGTTTCTCCCAACCTACTAAACTGCAACTTCTGAGCTGACTTTAAAATTTGTCTTCCGCTTTTAAAAATCAAAGTAGACAATTTGGGTATTCTAACATCAAATTGCGAACCAATGACTCAGTTTGAGCTGTTAGAACTCATCAATTACTTGAACTTCCATTTTGATTACCAAATTTGCCACCCAAGTAAATCAAAATGTTTTAGATTAAAGCAAACAAGTTTATCTTGTGAGTGCAATCGGTACAGATCATAGCATCACATTTTGATTTTGAAATTGCAATTGTTTCTAGATTCGTAGCATTTTTTCTTCCTGTGGTTAGTCTTGATTACAGTTATGCTAAAATCTACCTCACACACGGAGGCAACAACTGGCAAATAAGAATTCAAGAAATTTGTTGCTCATAGATGATTTCAAAATAAAGCTGTCATTTGCGTTTTGTAACATATGTTTTATTAACATTCTCTAATGCCAATTGAAAAGCCCAAAACATTTTGTACCGAAGGTTTTTAATTGGGGGAGTTTCTGCAGTACGGAATTTGATCGGCTCTGGAAGGAATCTAACTATGAGATTTTGACGCGGAGTGTGCTACATCGAGCTCCAGTTCTTTAAAACATCATAAAATTGTTTACGCGGTTTTGACGATTATCTATTTTGCATAAATAATCGGTTATACTGAAAATTATACAATAAAACATCAAGATATCGCAACACCGGTTGTATTTTATCCACATGGCAGAATACGAATTCGAGAACAGCTAACGTAAATAACTTTGTACTTTTTGTCAAAAAGTTAATTAAGTGCAATTTCATACATTCACCAGAAATGCAATTTGTACGCAGTCGAAGGTGTGAACGATTTTCTATGTGGGAAAATGCACAGTTGTTAGGTTTTCACACATTTACAACAGTCACCAAACAACTGGTAAGTGATTAGAAACCAAGGTTGGCCTCGATTTGCTAAAGAAGGCATCAAAGATGGCAGCTGTCCATTAAAAGTAGTTTTGAAATTATTGTCTTATAGAACAACACTAAACCACAGAGCAAAATGTGGGCTATGTAACTTTCCGTAGCAGCAATTAGGCAACAAAATTTGGAAATGCATTGAAATGATTACTCATTGAGCGTTGGGTCTGTCTGATGATTACTTTTCGAAGTCTACATTACCTTGGAAAGTAAAATGTTTGACCGATAAATTGTGCTACAAAAAGCATACTTCGAAGTTGCATATCGAAATCCACTTTCGAAAATACGACAACACTTCAGAGCAGAAATTCTTCGAAGCTAAATGTACAAAACTATTCAATGTCTTTTCATCAACTAAATTCACGTTTGCACATAAATTTGTCAACATGTTAAAGTTAGCTTTCTTGGATGAATCCAGCTGTAGTGTGAGCACGACAACAATCTTTTTTTAATAATTCTTAAAGACACTTGTAACATGAACCACTAGGTCTTGGTTATACTACTCGTAGCCGTAAGACACAAAAAATTTTTTGTGAGTTTTCAGCTAAAAGCTAGCAGGACGAGAAAATATCTCCATGATAACTTTGATTATGCGACCGGTCTCAGCAAATTTGGGTCTTTTGCACACTTCGTATAACGTAGGAGCCTTCTGATTTGACATCTGGTAGGCTGGAACACTAGGTTAGTGTTGGCGAGTTGCCTGTCATTGTGTTCCCAAATTCTGGTGGAAGAGTAATGTTCCCGTTGTGGGATTAAACTGATTTAGACGCATGTTATAGCCGGACACAGTTATCCGTAATTGTGCATGCAAAGGTGCTTCCTTCGAAATTCTTGGGATAATCTTTCACAGCCTTATTTAGGAGAAACAGTTGTTGGGCTATCTAAAAATAGATTCAGACAGATGTACGCACGGTAGAATTAACGCATTAAACCTAGCCCTCAACTATCCTTTCACCCTACCTAGGATAAACGTGCTCATCTGCGGAAATGCATTCGACAGGACTGCTGTAAGATATCGCTGAAAACACGCAATCATTGTCAGCCATGCCGGCTAAGAAGATGTCTAGAATTGGGAATGTCTCGCGAAGCAGCCAAGTTGGGTCGGCGATCACGGAAGACCTGGAAGCACCTCGATCTCTCCATTGCCCTGCACGGCCAGCATCTGGGCGAAGTCGAAGACGGAGGTTCCCTTCCAGCCACAGCTGCTGCTAGTGCCCCAGGAGGTATTCAAAATGAGTTTTGCAAATTTGTTTCCCAAGGTAAAGCCAAAATTGGATAATCCTCATCATATTGCTAGTTCGATAAGTGCCTGAATTCGAAACTCACGACAGTGATACTACTTTAAGAGCAGCTTCCGATTTTAAGCCACAGGCATTAAATATTTTGTTATGTAGTGAGTATACCATTAGAACTTTCAGAAGATGAAATCACTTTCTTATTGAAATGCTGAAATGTCATGCTACACATGAAAATCTTGATTTTAACCACCGATTTATAAGACATCACCTAAAGCCAGTCCTCTTCAAAACACCAGTTGATCTTCTCCACACTTCCCAGACATTTGAACTATCAAGAATTTTGAGTAAAAAAATATAACTGAAACATTCTCAAAGATTGAATCAAGGGACGTAAGGTATTGGCGATTCTGAAGACGTTGCAATATGGGCTCTTTGATGCAAATATAAGCAAGGGGGAGTGTTAAAATGCTGACATTTATTGAGAAAACTATTGGAGATTCCCCACACTTACAAACTTTCCATAGCTCAAATCACTCATGTAATTCAAGCACAATTTGTTCTGTTAATTTTAGGCAGTCTTGGAATAGTGCAGACGCAGAGTTTAGCAGACATCGCAAATTACTCGTGTGAAACAAAATTTCTCGAGTTCTTATGCTCAAGAAATGGAATTTAAAACCCGTATTTATTCTTATAGGTAAATAAAGGCAATCATCATTTGTTCTAATGTGTTGAATATTCACAAATTAGCAGCTGTAAAGACACGCCTGCTTAACTAGTAATAGTAAAAAAGTCTGTTGCGAAAAGCATGTTTGACCACCTCATTAAGTTGGTAAAGGCATTATATGAACTGGAAGCCATGAAAATCATATGTTTGGAGACCTAATTCACCTAGGATATTAATTTTCCGGCAAAAGAGGATACAACAAGGTAAATCTAAGTTTGTACAAGAACCTTTCGTTTGCAAATTTAAAGGACTTTATGAACATCTTCTGAAAGTGACACTCAGAAAATGCAAATAAAATCAAATGCAAAGCTCCCAGGTTCTTGCAACACATTTTTCAGCAAGAAATGTGTAGTGTCCAGAGTAGAGTTTGCCTGTTGACAGTGTTTACATACCATAAGCTAACTCTTACTTAAGGCCCACAATCTGGACCAAAATTCACTTCCTCTCTGGAACCAATGCGTCTGAAACCACGAATTTTCGAGGACGGAAATTCTCCACTTGGCAGTGACGCAACCTTCACAGCACTCAGCAGCATCCCGTCAGTCGAAACGTCAGCTTCTGGGGGAAGTGGGGGTGACTGGGTCAGCACACCTGTACCCGCACCAGGCATCGATGAAGAGTACTTCGCCATTTCAGGTCAAAAAGGCGTCAACACGGGACCTCCAAACACTCCAGGCCCACATCTTGGGGTGAGTAACAGCTTCATGATTTTAGACATGGAATGCGTGAGATATCAATTCCAATCGGTGATGTGCAAGATTATTGGTCGTCTACGCAAGTCAACTGGGTTTAAAGTAATCGGAAATGCAAGGTGCTGCTTAATTTATGATGTATTGATAGTGTTCTAGCCTCAAAGAAGTCGCTGGGATTGCAACTTATACACAAATGTCAGGCGCATTATTAGCCGGCTTGTTTCATATTTGATTTATTTCACGACAAAGCTGCGAAGCAGCCTAATTATAAAAATTCACAAATCATCTTTATGAACCCAAAATGTCCACCGTCCTCAAAGGCAGCTCATTCAAACACAACAATTCAACCCATTTGGTTTGACGGAGAACTTGAAGTGGCGACGCCCCTCCACGGTGCTAATCATAGAACCCATGTGCTGCGCCCCCCAGCACAAGGCACGTTATCGCCTGCAGGCTACCGCATCAGGCGGTCTGGAGGACTTAGTCAGAAGCCATAAATAAATGCGGTGCC